CCTGAATGTGTTTAAGAAAAGGGTGGATGAACTACTTAGGGACATGGTTTAATGGGGATTAGGGACGGTTGGACTGGATGATCTCTAAGGTCTTTTCCAACCTAGAAATCTATGAAATCTATGAAGATGATAGGAGGGCTGAGCATGATGGACAACGGAGACCTCAGGGTGCTTTTCTAATTTTATTTTTCTCTTTTTTTTCCTCTTCTTTCCACCATGCAGGGAACATGCATATTGCTGCAACTCGCCTGGCACCTGAGAGGTGCCATTCAGCAGCGTGGTGCAGCAAAGCCAGACCTTAGCATGTCACCATCCTGTGCCGGACAGGGACGCTCATGCACCCGCAAGCTGTTCAGTTGCGTGGGGTTGAAGTTGAGGCCACACTGGGAGGGTCTGTATCAGTTCATTTGGGTGCTCTTGGCCTCGTGGCGGCCCTTCTCTCTGCCCAGCGCTCCCCAGGCAAAGACTTGGCCAAGGTCACACTGGGGCCACAGGGTCTCCTTCCCAGTGCCATGTCCACAGCCATGTCTCAGCCTGCTCCCCAGCTGCGCCGGGGCTGCTGAGCACTCCCATGCCAGCAGCGCCCAGCCTGGTTTTTCCAGTGCTGGTTCACAACAAGGTAATGCTAATGCTGGAGGGGACGTATCTCAGCAAACCAGGTGGGGCCAGAAGGAATGGGACAAGCAGGTGAACTAGTGCAGACTGGTGTAAACTGGTGTGCGGCAGGGAAGGGAGGAACGAAGGGCAAAGCAGGGCAGAAAGAACTGGGGAGCAGAGATGGGAGTCCTGCCAAGACATGGGCTGTGAATTTGATGGCCACAAGGCATAGGGGCATGGATGTGAGGGGACAGGCTGGCTTGGCACGGAGGTGCTGGCCACACCTGGCTGCAGAAGGTGAACAGAGACAGTGCATCCCACGGCCCGGGGTATGACTGCACACATAAACAGGCCCAAACAGAAAGGCATCTTTGTGTTCTAAGGCTGAATTCAGGGGGCGTGAGTAGAAACAGGGCAAAACTGGGCACCAACCTCCCCACCCACACACACCCCCCCATGATGACATAATGGTGAAACCAGTTTCACCAGGTGCACGTTAAACACTCAGAATCAATTCCATTGTCCAAAGTGGCTGTGAGTTCCCTCTCTGCTCTGAAAAGGGTTTCTTTTTCCACCTGTCGCAATCAGCTTGCTTTTGTCACACTAACACAAGCAAAACAGGTCAGGCTGGTTTTCGGCAAGGAAAAAACAAGAAAAAAAAATCAAATGTTTCCTCACATTGCAATGAAAAAGCTTCAACCCAAACCCATGGTCACAGCTTAAAAGTCCATCCTGGATCTGGAGCAATAGAGTTGTCTCCAAGTCAACTTCTGTTTCCTTTCCATTCTCCAGTCCTTGTTATCCAGGAACTTCAGATGCAAAATGGAAGCATTTTTTTCCCCACAAACTGGAAGGGCTAATTTGGTGCCACTGTTTATTAGGCATCTCTAACGTGTGAAAACATCCCTTCTTGGGTTTAAACTCCATTTAAATTAACTCACTGTGGTGGTTTTACCCCAGCCTGCAACTAAGCAGCACGCAGCCACTCATTCATTCCGCTGGGTGGGATCGGGGAGAGGATTGGAAGGATTGGAAGTAAGAAAACTTGTGGGTTGAGATAAAGACAGTTTAATGGGTAAAGCAAAGCCGTGCATGCAAGCGAAGCAAAACAGGAATTCATTCACCACTTCCCATCAGCAGGCAGGTGTTCAGCCATTTCCAAGAAAGCAGGGCTCCATCACGTGTAACTGTTACTTGGAAAGACAAATGCCATCATCCAAATGTCTTCTCTTCCTCCTTCTTTCCCCCGGCTTTTATTGCTGACCATGATGTCATAGGGTGTGGGATATCTCATTGATCAGCTGAGGTCAGCCGTCCCAGCTGTGTCCCCTCTCAACTTTAGTGCACCCCCAGTCTCCTCGCTGATGGGTGCAGTGAGAAGCAGAAGAGACCTTGACTCTGTGCAAGCACTGCTCAGCAATAACAAAAACATCCCAGTGCTGTCAAAGCTGTTTCCAGCACAGCCCCATACTAGCTACTGTGAAGAAAATTAACTCCATCCCAGCCAAAACCAGCACACTCGCTCAAGTTACCACTCTATAGTGCTTTGCCTACAGGAAAGCTGGAGAGGGACTTTTTACAAGGGCGTGTAGTGATAGGACAAGGGGCAATGGATTTAAACTGAAAGAGGGGAGATTTAGGTTAGATATAAGAAAGAAATTCTTTACATTGAGGGTGGTGAGGTACTGGAAGAGGTTGCCCAGAGACGTTGTGGATGCCCCATCCCTGGAGGTGTTCAAGGCCAGGTTGGATGAGGCTTTGGGCAACCTGGTGTAGTGGAGGGTTTCCCTGCCCATGGCAGGGGGATTGGAACTAGATGATCTTTGAGGTCCCTTCCAACTCTAACCATTCTATGATTCTATGATTCTATGAACATGATCACTGACACTGAGCTGGCTCAGCCCCTGGCCCTGGCTACCCCTTGCCAGAAAAGCCCCTTCACTCATGCCCTAGTCTGTGCCTGCTCCTTAGGCATTGCCCTGTTACAGTGCAGCGCTCCTGAGGCCCCAGAGGGCTGTGTACCCGCGTGCAGCAAAGGGAAAACAGCAGTGATGACTATTTGTAAAATCACAGCAAACCCATTTTTATTAGCGACATCCTGCTGGTGTGTGTGAGAGCAATCAGGCACCAAAGACACGAGTTGATTGCCTCTGCTTATTCAACATGTTATTGTAATCATCCAGATAATTCTCCTACGGTCTACTGCGCCCCTTCTAAGTCATATTTTGTAGGGGGATTAATAACAGCGCTAATTCCTGGCGTTATGGTTGTGCCTCACAATTCATCAATACCCTCCGAGGGTTGCAATAATTCATATTGCCCTTGAGACAAGTTAAATATTGTCCCCATTTCTCTTCACAGGTCAGAGACGGCATTTCCAAAAACTGAACGAAAATGTTCTTTTGGCACAACAGGTTTAGGGAGGGAAATAGGCTTACATGGACAGGTGGCAATTAAAATTGCCCGGTTTCATACTCATGCTCCTTACTGCTGGTCGTTTGGGCTTCCTGTCATAGCAGTAACAACCCTGCAGGCATAAAGGTGTGGTTCAGGGAAAATTTAGCACTTTAGATCCAACTATATTTTTCTTTTTAAAGCTGGATGTTTTTCTGTTTGGGCCCCACTAGTATCAAACGGTACCCAACTCAGAAGAGACTGAAGGGAAGCATTGTGCCAAGCGTTTTCTGGCAGGCTCTTGTCTTCATTGCTATGGTCACACATGGAAAGATGCTTGTTCAGAGTATATACATTAAAAAATAAAACCCAAATCCAGCCTGGAAACTGCAGTCATTGAACAATTTTCGTGGTCATGAGGTGACCCCAAGACACGCTTGCCAGGGGAAGCTCTTAGGATGATTTCCACCGCCGCAGCGAGAACACCTTATGGACCACATACACCAGGGTAGCTAAAAATGCGAATACCTACAATGGAAAAACACATCAGCCAATTACCTTTTTATTGTATGGTGTGAGCTCCTGTGCTCAGCAAACACCTCGTGATGCACTAGATTTCTATTGACTTTTGCATGTTTGGAGACTGAGACCAATTTCTCCCCAACCCCAAACGGTCAATGCAAGTAAAGATTTGTGCTTGAGGCCACCCCACAGTCACCTCTTCACCTTCTTTCCCCTGCTTGCCAGGCACTCACCACAGCAGAAATGTTCTCCCGGTAGACAATCAGGATGTCGGTAGACAATGAGCTGATGCTGTAGGTGAAGTAGGCTTCCAACACAGCAGCACTGAGGTAGAACAGAGCTGCTGTCTCCTGGCAGATGACATCCTATGAAACAAGGATCACACAGTCATTTCCAAGTAGGGAGCACACTGCGAAGGGGGGGGGAAAAAGGAACTCACACAAGCAAGCCCCAGCTTGCAATTTGGAGTGCAGTAGCAGCAAAGGAGGCAACAGTCTACTAGTGATCCCAGGGAGGGGGAAGGCCCTGAGGTTTGTCACATCCACTTACCAGGGTGACCCAGGAACTGCTGCCCCCATGCGCCCCGCAGATGTAGAGGCACAGGAGAGTGGTGGACATGACGAAGCAGGACACAGACACAAACATCACCCAGCCTTGCAGGATAGGGTATGGGACCTTCGAGGATGCCACCAGGATCCAGACAAGGCCCCCAAAGATCTGCAAGTGAAAGTGGGAGAGAGGGTGAGCGTGGGATAAATTGGCTTATCCAGAGCAGAGCCAAAAGCCATGTATGCCTCTGATGCCAGCACTGCCCATGGCAATAGCCCAGGGATGCCCTTGAGTTCTTCCTAGCCTCCATTTGAAACTGGGTATTTAGCTGGGAGCACCTGCCTCTGATCTGGACCCAAAAATCCTGGCTGCAGCCCTGCCCCCATGTCACTGCCATTCACACCCTTCCCACTTCGGTGTGCTCAGGAGGGTGGGTCAGGCATTTTTTTGAGGGCTGGTTTCCATGAACAGGGAGGCTTGTTTTGGAAGGGTATGTTTGCTTCACACCCAGTATGGCAGGTCCCTGAAGGGAGTGGTGTCAAACCCAGCTCATCTGCACAAACAGCACAGGCATGTGGCCTCATGAAGACCACAGGCATAACCTTAATGAAGGCCACGTGCAAATGTCACCCTGAAAGGAGAGAGAACGAACGAAGAGAGGTAATACGGTCAGTTTTACTTTCTGACATAGGAGAGATAAGGTTGAGGGTTCCAGCTCCTCCTGGGAAAGGGGACTTGCATTGCTGCTCCAGCTATTTGGGTCATCCTCCATTGGCTACACCGGAGCTGTGCAAGGTCCCATCTGCTGGTCAGTAGCAGGTGGGACCCCATCCTTCTCAGCCAGCCTTAAGAGTTTGTTATGGATTTTCTGATGGGGTGGGGAACACAAAGACAGCTCTACCTAGACTCCATCCTTTCTCCACCAGCAGATTCCTACACAAGAGGATGAAGGTGCAATGTCCAATGCTGTGGAGTATCTGAGCTGCAAGTGTCTTTGCACTAAAACGCACTCAGTAGCTTCTCTCTGCTACAAATCAGCCCACTTGTTTCTTGAACCTGTGCAAAGTTTAGTCTATGCAGCGTCCTGTGATGAAGAGCTCCTCAGCTGAACTCACACTACGTGGACATAGGTGCTGCTGTGGGGACCTATCATCCCTCATCACTGGTTGGTCTTGATTTTGCAGGTAAATCTCCAGAGAGAAGAGAGCCTCACTGACTGAGATCATTCCCATCACCAGTGTGTCCCAGGCCAGCCTTTGGCAGCATCCAAGTGCCAACTCATATAAACCATGGCATTTCCATTTCCTTGGAGGCATTTGGCAAGTGAAAAAAAAGTTTCTGATGTACGATACTCAGAAAATGTCACAGCCTTTGTGTCACCCCACATTTTGTAGGAAAGTTCATTGGTTCTATTATGCAAAGTAATACATTGAATCAACGATGTCATTGAGATCTTGCAGATATCTGAGTGAAAATAGGTCTTCCCAAGTGCTGGTGTTTTGGTGCCTCTTCTAACAATCAAAGACTGAAACTTGAACACTAATCCAGTCCCTGTAATAACTCATGTGAAGACACGAAGAGTGCGTTGCAGCTAAAGATCCTGGAGAAAACCTCAACAGTTGCTCTGTTAAAATCCAACACAACTGGGGTGAGATATCACGTTGGAGAAAGAAGTATCACTTCTTGACAGGCTGAGAGAGTTGGGGTTGTTCAGCCCGGAAAAGAGAAGGCTCTGGGAAGACCTTATAGCAGCCTTCCAGTACTTAAAGGGGCCTACAGAAAAGCTGGAGAGGGACTTTTTACAAGGGTGTGTAGTGATAGGACAAGGGACAATGGCTTTAAACTGAAAGAGGGGAGATTTAGATTGGATATAAGGAAGAAATTCTTCACTCTGAGGGTGGCGAAGCACTGGAACAGGTTGCCCAGAGAAGTTGTAGATGCCCCATCCCTGGAAGTGTTCAAGGCCAGGCTGGATGAGACTTTGGGCAACCTGGTGTAGTGGAGGGTTTCCCTGCCCATGGCAGGGGGGTTGGAACTAGATGATCTTTGAGGTCCCTTCCAACCCAAACCATTCTATGATTCTGTGATTCATTTCTTACCACTCCCCATCTCTCCTTTCTACAGGATGTGATTTCTCACTCAGGCAGGTATGTTTGACATGGTTTTATTACTGACTTTGGTTTTACAGTTCTGCTGTTCAAGCAGACTCATAAAAATGAGGAAAGGGCCAAGAGGCTTTTGATAACAACCCACAGTAGCCTGGGGACAGCAGTCTAAGAACAGCTTTTCCGCATAGGCCTGGCCATCCATATATGCAGAAAGATCTTCAAATGAAAAAAAAAAAGATTACAAGAATTAAACCCAGTCTCGCAGAATAAAAATAGTAGCTCTCAATCAGCACATCCAGATGTGGCAATCATCTGAGCTGCAGGCACGACTTTCTGGCATTTTTGCAACTGTCTTAGCATTTGAAATGACAGCTTATTTTTTGTAGTTACCATATCAACCCACTGCAGGCAACCTCAGATTCCACTAAGGACTGAGAAACTCTTCATCCTTCTGAATGCTGTGATTCAAGGCAGCTGCCTCCTTTGTACACAGCAGAGACAAAATAGCTGCACAACCTAGAGTTGTACACCTCCAGAGATGAAGCAATCCAGTCATGCAGCATTCCTCTTTCCTGGGTGGTTCCTAAGCCTTTAGGATGCACATTTCCAGATCTTACCCAAACCAAAGGATACGGCACCTATTTTTGTCTCATTAAGCAAGCTGCCTTGCCAAATCCCCTGGAGACAGGAATTGCAAACAAACAATTCAAGGCACAGCTGGTACCATAAGCACGCCGAGGCCACCAGCACGCTCAGCACCAGGACTAACACAACCCTGTGGCAGGGGGGGGCGGGGACACGCTCCCCCAAAAGGGACTTTGCACCCTCCTTCATGCAGCTGCGGGAAACCTGGGCCTTGCTCTCAGGGTCTGGGCACAGAGTCTAAGTCCCCAGAGCATATTTGGAGGAGCTGAAGCAAAGCTTTTCTCCTCGCATTGCAAACGCCTGCTTTAACCCCATTCCTCTTGACTGCTGTCACTAGGAGAATGAAGTAATTGCTGTAATTCCCAGGAACGTGGACTAAGCTGGGTGACAGGGAAGGATTCAGCCCCAGATGGCAAAGTTGAAGCTTTTAACGTTAAATAATCTCAGTGCCACCCTACAACACTCAGGTAAACCCCTCAATTCCAGACGAAAGTGCTCAGGCTTTGGAAAAACCCTCCCAAACTACGGTGAGGACGTTCCATGAGCAGGGGCAGAGGACACAGGAAAAAGCTTCTAGTTGAGCACCAACAAAAAGATGAAAAGTTTCACAGCAACTGCTTTTAGTCACGTGCGCCAAATCCATTATGATTATGATCTGCTCAATGAGACTACAACATGGGAAGAAGTTACAAGGTGTTTGTTCACCCTTTGCTCACCCATTCTTGCCCGCACACCAAGGTCCAGCACTCTGCACCTCTAGCTCAGGAATGTTGCAGCGGAGCACAACAGCTCCCGCAGCCTAGGGAGTTTAATCTTTGCCTGTATTAGCTGCTAAAATCATCTTCTAATTAATTACTTGGCTCAATTTGGCAACCTAGTTTAGACCCACCAGCAACCCCTTTGACTCTGTTAAGCAGGAAGTTACAAAAGGTTTTCAGAGGCACCACCACCACCTGCAGACTAAAGCAGAGCTTCAGAGCCCCCAGCTCAGGGCTTGTCGCTTCCTTTGGTGGCCAGCAAGGCATCGGGGTCTGCCCCCCGACCCCTGTGGCTCGGGGACCCAGCGTGGCTCTGTGACCACATGCATCGTATCAAGTCTCATCCCTCCACATGAAGCACGACGGATGCCCCTCAAGCAGCATCTGCCCTCCCCAAGGAAAAGCCAGCACTCACGATTTCAGGAATGAAGAGCACATCTGGGAAAGTTGTCAGGACGTGCAGGCCACTGGGCAAAGAGGTGGTGGAAGTTGCTGAGGACATTGCGAGCCTCTCCCACGGTGACTGTCAGCAGCTCTGGCTCTGGCTGCTGGAGATAGCTGCCAACTTCAGCCTCCTTCCCTCCCTCTCTCTCTCTTCCGCCTTCCCTCCCCTTCTTCCTGCTCTTCCTTCTTCCCTCCCTCCTTCCTGCTGGCAGGTGAAGACAGCTGTGAATGGCACGGGTGTGGCCAAACTGGGACCAGGGGTGAACTGATGGCTGACGGGAGCCACAGGGGAGGTTTTCGGGAGAGCAGCCCTGCGGCGTTTTGAGCTGAGCTGTCCCTACACAAGCTGAGCACCCAGGGCAAGTCCCTGGGCGGTGGCGGGTGGCACTGGCTGACATCCGAGGGCAGTAAGGAAGACTTGTTCCCACCCAGCTCATCCCCTTTATTTGCACAGTAGGTCAGCTTGTCCCCTGCCCATGTGAGCTGGCCACAGCAGTGGGCACAAGGGCAGCTGGTGACCAGGGCAAGCCAGGACGTGCCAGCTACTGACAAAGAGCGGGGCTGAGAAATGTCTCACAGATGGAGATGCATTCCAAGACATGGGCAGTCAAATCGCGGGGCAAACCACTTCCGTCATCTCAGGAGATTGGACATGTCGAAGTATCAAAAATGACCTAAAATAATGAGATTTCCCAAGCCAGTTGGCTTCCTTTTTTAGCTTTTTCTTAGCCTGGAGTCCATGGGAGTGAGTCCTTTCTCTCTTCATAACATGTGTTTACTTCTTTTTAACACGCTCACTTGGATAACCAGTAAAATCACACAATTCTGGAAGCTGGGGCCAAAGACATGAAACATCAGGAAAACAAAAGGAGCAACATGGCAATGAACATTGCCATGGACCAGTGACCCATGTTTCAGCCATGCCCTCTATATGGAGCTTGCCCTTCTGCAGCTGCTCCCATGCACGAGGCTTTGGTGCAGGGTCTGGAGCAGCAGGTGGGACTGCCTTGTTCCTAGCTCCATGTGCCCGGCACACACAGATCCGATAAGCGACACGGTCAGCTTTAGCCCAGAGCCTCCATCCAGCCTCCTCACAGCTGCAATGGGGGGCATTTAGTCGTGGTTGCTTTGCACTCTGTGACTGCAGCAGCTGGTGTCCCAGCCCCAGGGCAGGAATGGGGTGCCCTGGGCAGCACTGAGTGTGGTGGTGAGGCTCCATGAGCCAGCTCCGTTGGGGTAACGGTGGCATCTGCACTGTTGGTGCAAATCCTTCTGGCTGGGAGCATGATAGGTTCATTTTGCAGCAGACTGGCAGGCAGGAGGCAATGGGGAGAGCTCTGCAGGGAGGAAAGGAATAAACACCTGTCCTGAACCCAAGGGACACAGAGAGACTGGGGGCATCAAGTGCAAGAGAAGAAGACAGTATGAAAACTTTCCCTTACAGAGGAAGCAGTGGGACAGATGGCTGGAGGAGGCTGCAAAATCAGAAAAATTGGGCAAATGCTTTTAATAAGCAGATTAAGTGTGTGGGATGAGTGGTCCTTGCATTAGAGACCTCTTTATTTTATACAACATGCACAAGAACGTGACCAGAAAAAGAAGGATCCCCTGGCACGTGCCGGAGGCCAGGTGGTGCGGAGTATCAAACTTGTCTGAAAAACAATCACCACTAGGACTTGCTATGAGCATTGCCAAGGACAAGGAGTTTTGAAGTTAAAACAACTGGTCTGTATAATAAGGTCAAAAGTTGCTGGGACCTTTGTGTATATATATATATCTTTGGCGAGTACACCAGTTCAGTAGTACTATAGCCCAACCTCCTTATATAAGGGCAAAGGTTCCTAGAACCTTTGAATATATAATTTTGGTGAGTACACCGGGTCGGTAGTACTATAGCCCAACCTCCTTATATAAGGGCAAAGGTTCCTAGAACTTTTGAATATATAACTTCGGCGAGTACACCGGTTCAGTAGTACTATAGCCCAACCTCCTTATAATAAGGGCAAAAGTCTCCAGAACTTTTGTATATATAAGATTTTATTTGTGACACGATATAGATTCGTAGATAGCCGGTGATAGAGACTGACTACAAAAACAACTTTAATCGAAATACTGCAGGGATAATATAAAACTATTACTGATCAGTGACAATACCAAATAGCTAGTAAGATGTTAGTAAATAAATGCGCGTAACACAGAGCTCTTACCCAATAAGCGTCCCTATGGGGGGGAGAAGAGAGGTTCAGCCAGTCAACTGATCCCGGACGTTTCGATGGAGGAGCTTCTCCCTAACATCCCCTTTGTCTTTTGCCATTTTATACTATTTCTTTACTTTCAGGTGGAGCTTGAGTGACTCTACTCATACATACCTTTGTTAGGATTGGTGTAAACTTTTCTCGCTTCGATTTAAAGGTACAGGCAAGAAGAAATTCAGGGTGCCTGCTCAGTGAGGGGTGGTCGCAGCCCGGAGGCAGGTAGCTTTTGAGGTGGAGGTGTGTTTTGGTATTATAATGACATTATAATAAGCAAAGTTCAACTAAAGGACAAGATTTCCTGGGGCAACAGTTGCGATCCATCTTCCTTGATGGCAATTAGACGGTTATCTTCACCAGATGTTCTTTGCCCTGATAACAGGGATGAGCCATGGTACCTCTGCACCACTCTAATCCCCACTTCAAAGACATTGCTCATTTCATCTGACCAGCAGGCCGTGTCAGTCCTGGGAGCAGCAACTGTGTCTCACTTCAAAGCTGCTCTAATATTGCAGCCTTTGAGCTGAACTTTGCAAAGCTGTATTTCTCCATTTCCCCCAATTTTGGTTATTTTCCCACAAGGAGCACTGCAAAATCCCAGGGCAGCCTTAGCAGGACATGTCAGACAGGCTCCAAGGGTGCTCAAAGAAGCCTGAGCGGGTAGGTGAGGGTGAGGGCTAGGTGATAGAGCAAGCAGTGCCATTGTTGGTGGGGCTGTGAAGGGGTGTGATGGATACCCCTTACTGAGACCTCTGGCTCTCCTTTTTTCTTCCCCCCCCGTGCCCCCAAGAAAAGGAGGAAGGCCACGTCTTTGTCACCTGTTTTTCTCTCTCTCGTCTGAAGAGAAATTAAGGTCTTGTGTGGAAAGGTAAGCTGACATAAAAAGGCATTGGAGAAGCATTATAGAATACCTGGAAGTGCAGATGTGGACTTTTACTCAAATGAAGGTGCGTCTGAAGGAAAAACTTTGTAGTGGAGGTAATCAGCTTAACACTTTGTATTATTTTTCGTGTTATTTCCATTTTCTATCACAGCTGATGTGGCAAGTGTATGAATGCCCTTTGCATACTAGATTTTTTTTAAAAAGCACAGTGCACTATGGAAGT